CCCCTAACAACCGCCCCTGGCAACCATCCATAACAGCCGCGCCTGGCAACCGCGCCTGGCAACTGACCCTAGCAACCATCCCTAACAACCGCCCCTGGCAACCATCCATAACAGCCGCGCCTGGCAACCGCCCCTAGCAACCATACCTATCAATCGCCCCTGGCAACAGCGCCTGGAAACCGCTCCTGGCAAGCACCCCTGGTAACCGTGCCTGGCAACCATCCCTAGAAACCATCCCTAGAAACCGCCCCTGGCAATTGCCCCAGCAACCATCCCTAACAACTGTTCCTGGCAACCGCCCCTGGCAACCATCTCTGGAAACTGCCCCAGCAACCATCCTAGCAACAACCCCGTCAACCATCCCTAGCAACTTCCCCAGCATCCAGCTGTGGCACYGCGTTGCTCAGGGTGGCCTAAGGCAGTGCAAGGCCTGGGATACCTGGGCAGTGTGGGGTTGGGGGCTCCATTGCCGCTTTCCTCCCCAAAATCCCTGGGGTTGCTCAGCTTCATGTGCTGCGGGCGGTGGGAGCCTGCGGGTGCTGACACCCCAGTGGGTGACAGAATCACCGAATCAGTGAGGCTGGAAATGACCTCTGAGTCCAACCTGTGAGCCAACACCACYTTGCCAACCAGACCACAGCACTGCATGCCATGTCCAGTCTTTCCCTGAACATCTCCAGGGATGGTGACTCCATCACCTTGCTGGGCAGCTCCTTCCAATGTCTAATCACCCTTTTGGTGAAGAAATTCCTCCTAATGTCCAACCTAAACCTCYCGTGATGCAGCTTAAGGCTGTGTCCTCTCCTCCTGGCTGGGTGCCTATGACAGAAGTACCCCAGGCCTTTACACCTCAGGGTTAATGTACTCACCCCCTAAATACATGCGAGTGTTTTAATGCCACCATCACTAATAGGGCCTTTTTAGTCCTGGTGGGTTTCTCTTTATCCACAAGATTTTCATCTGCTCCCTTGACACACTCTGGCAGCAACAATTAAGATGTACTTCTCGCTTTGCTCTTGACAGGGACTTTATTTTTATTTTTAATGTCCCATCCAGTTTCCAGCTCTGAACTGGAGATGTCTTGATAAGACAACCTACAAAGGGAAAAATGGCTTGGGCTCTGTTTTGSTCATTTGTGGTATTTAAGGAATCTGATTAATTTTGCCCTTTTCCTAACCCTAAACTATCAGAAGTGCCAGGCTGGTTTTGCTGCAGACCTTTATTACCAGAGAGCCTAAACCCTTTGAGGAAAACCTAATCAGTTACTTATCTACTGAGGAAGTMAGGTATGGCATTTGGAATAAAAGGATTTTCTAGCCTGTTACCAAGCATTTGAATTAAATGGATATTCATGATAACCATTTCAAAGACTTTCAGCAATTGGATTAGAAATCTTTCATGTTTTTTTTAGTGCAGAAGATTTTACAGACAACTGGAGAACACTGCTGAAAGAGTGGCAGAAGCCAGAGACACTTGTACACAGAAACTCCCCTGGCATAAAAATCCTAAGAGAAAAATTAGYCTTAAACAGAGCTTTCCCTGCCCCTGGTGAGTGGCAAAGGGATAATGCCAAAGCTCAGGAAAGCAGTAAATTCTGCCCTTTCACCCAAACATTGACTATTTMGGATGAAAAAACATGGAGGAGGAAGAAATAATTCTTGAAAATGTCAGGAGAGATCATATCAGAAKGGATTAACAGACAGATTAAATTCTTCCCAGTGCTACCAATACACTGAATGTGCTGGTGCTGCTGCTCCACACACCTTCCCACAGGCTCCAGTCCTTGCAGATGGAGTTTGCAGGCAAAGGGGAAAATACCCTCATGGATTATAGCCATTACTGCAGATTTCATTCCTTTTCCTCTCTCCCCAGCCCAAAGGGCACTACTCACTCTAAGYAGAATCAGGCAGGTGAAATGTGCAGCTTTTAGCAGCTCCTGCCCCTTCTCTCCCCCTTTATTCCCCCCATGGCTGCCAAACCCTCCAGGCCAGGTCAGGGGTGCCCCAGCCTGGGAGCCACAAGCAGATGGTGCCATTTGCCCACTCTGGCTCCCTATTTCACAGCAGGATCACACTGACCCCCTCCTTGCACCTGACTGTGAAATAACAAAGAAGGGAAGCTATTTATTAAAATAAAGGGAAGATTTTTCCAAAGCCTACCAGATGCAAGTGGGATTTAAAGCTATAATTGATTGGTACAAGTGGATGTACCAATTTTGTCAGCACTCAATTTTAAGTAGATACAATGCTCAGGCAAGAACTCATTCTCCAAATACAAATAACCCTTGCTTTTTTTYCAGTTCTTTCTACATTTCTTCTTTGGTTTTCATTGCTGTATTTCCTGCATGTCTTTGCAGCCAGGCCTCTTTATTACCACTCACTGAACGTGTGATCCCTGTGCTCCACGGTCTTGTCATCCCCTGGTTGCACATTTGTATTCAGCCAGGAAAAAAATTACTCACAACTGCTCTCATTTCTCAGCCCTTACTGGAAACACAGTTTTCCTCATTCCTTCTCCATAAACCACCTTTTGCCTTCTCAATGCCACTAACATCTCACTCATATTCTGGTTTTTATCAGAGGYTTTTCAAAGGATCAAAGCTGCCTCTCCCTGTTCACTGATTCTGGCTGTAAAATGGTGTAACCGTCTAGCTAAGGCTCCTTTCCMAGCTGAAATGAGAGTGGCAAGACCAAAAATGAGCTCCTTAATTACTGACATTCATTCTGGCATCTCAGCTGTGTCTGCCAGGRTTGGAAGAGGAAGGAGATGGTATTTAGAGAGCCAGAAATTCAGGAATCARTAACTCTCAAGCCTACAGCCGAGTRTAACGTGCTGAYGCCTGGCTGAAAGTCTTGGCAGTTCACTTGGGTGATGCTGAAATGCTCCAGAGCTCTGCTAGGAAATAAACAGAGCCAGCCAGGTACAGGYTCTATAAATGGATCCCACCTGCAGAGCCCATTGGGCCTCCTGACAGATGCACATCTCACAGGCTGCTGCCATTTGCTCTGTTGTGCAGGCTCAGGGATGGTTAATGTTTGAAGATTAAGTGGATTTTTCAAGCAGGCTTTTAACACCATGAGACAGTCCTTTACRACAGCACTCCTTGCACATTTTGAATTTCTGATTTGTTTTGTCTATTTTTAATCTGATCCCCTGCTTCAGACTCGTTCTCAGAGAGCAAACAGTGCTCTCATCCAAAGTGTCTCCTTCCTTGAGATTATTTTGATAAATGTTTGTATTTGGCTTCCTACCAATTTGRATTCCYCAAGGGAAAATTCTCCCCAGGAAAYCTATTGATGTTCAAAGGGTTCAGTCCAGAGGATCTGAAGGTTCAAGTCTCAGCACTTTATCCTTCCAAGAAGGAGAAACCAAGYCTCACATGATTTTCTAATGTCAAATCTCACCACACTTGCTGAGTTGAAGTTTCGGGGTTTTTTTGCTTCTTCCTTAGAAGGAACTGGCAGCACAGGCTACATCTTGTCTTTCTATCTCATTTTGGTTTCCTTGCCTTCCACGGAAATGACTGGATTTTTACAAAGAACTTAGGAATGAAAGTTACTGTGAACACAGCAGTAATGAAYGCTGCAATTAAATTATTATGAACTAATTACAATGTGCCTGAGTTCTGCCCCTTGGGATAAGACACCTAAACCAAAATGGGTTCCATCCYACCTCTATAATTGCAAATCCAGGCAAAACCCTAAACCTTTTAGCCTTAGGCAGTTCTGTTTAATTTACCATTGGGGCATTTGCCACAAGTTAGCGCCCATCTCTCAAAAGCAAACCAGAGGGAACAGCTGTGTGGGGTTTTCTCGGGAGTGCTGGAGGCTGGAGAAGCTGGGGACCAGCAGCCACCCTGTGTGACATTCTGGAGAAGTGCAGAAAAGCTTCTGATAGCTGAGAACACAGAATGTTTTTTTTTTTTGCCATTTGATGAGTTAGTTCTGATTGTCATTAGTTCCAGCCCCACAAGGTGAGCAGGAGCATTTCACACGCTGCTCAGCTCATCTGAACCTGTTACACTGTGCACCTGGAATAGACAGAGGTGATTTTTTAAAGCATGGCATGGAGAGCAGGGGAGGTATAGCTGAGAGGAAATCAATACCTGGGAAATTGCTTTAGGTTCYTAACCCTGTGTCCTTTGCCAGCAAGGGATTGGCACTGAAATAAGAGTAGCTGGCATGTGCTTTACCCAAGCACTGTGGGGAGGGTGGGTCTGCTTGGATGTGACTCTGAAATCTGCTGTTCCAGATGCTGAGGATACCTGTGGAGGCTCGTACCTGGCTGTAAATTCCATCAAGCTTGCACTGGTATAAAATTGGGTTCAGAGGGCAACCAGAGAGTTACCCACTGCTCGTGTTGGCATGAAGATCTGTGGAGGTAATGAGTGCTACAAACCTCTGGTGTGGGAGCCAGGGGATGCTGACAGAACTCGCTGTGGCAGGGAGGAGAGATGGGGAGAAACTGGGAAAGTTTTAGGGACAAAACAAGAGCTATTCTAAAGAGAAAAAGCTGTTCACCTTGCAAATGAAGTTTGTCATCGGTTGTGCCAGATTATTACCAATACTAAAGCGAAATTCCTGGGAGGAATGTTGCCACACAGCGAGTATGTTTAGACTCGGAATGCCACTGATAGTCCTGGGGCAGCTCTGGGGCTGTGGGGAGCACAGAATTGTAGCCAGAGTCCCCTTGGCACTTGCAGGGGCTCTGGCTCTATGAGTGTGACTGCCCTACTGAAAAAATGACCATGAGAACAGAGCCTGCAGCTGCYGGCTCAAATACACACTGCAACACCAAAACTGGCTCCAAACAACTCTGGATCCTATCACAGCCTGTAGATCTTCATCCAGGCAGCAGTGGGAATCCCAGGTGCTTCTGCTGCAGAAGCAGCTTCACAAGTCAGAGGCAGAACCCACGGGGCCTGGTGGAGGAGCTCCACAAATGACCCCTCTGGGTCCTGGGAAGACAGGATTGCTTTGATTGGAGCTGGGACAGGAAATCCCAGGGACAGAAAAGCTGCTCTATTTATTGCAGAACTCCTAAGCTGGATACACCCGACAGAGCCTGGAGGGTTTTTAGAAATTTCTGCTGTTTCCTGCAATTAACCTCAAGTCATAAAGAGGGCTGGATGCTGTGGGTCTTGTTGGGTCCAGCTGTGCATGACAGGAGCCCAGCCCAGGCAGCACGAGAAAACCCCTGGGATGATGGAGTTTTATAGAGCCTTCTGTGAAAGCAGCTCACTGGAGATATGAACACAGATCACAGCCCTCCTGAGCCAAGCTGGGCAGCAGGCAGCTATAAACAAGYCAGTTACAGACTGATTCTCCTTGATCTACTGATTCTCCTTAATCTGAGAAATACTGCCTGATATCACACGGCTGCTCTGTGTCAGGCATGGGGCCAAGTGGATGGAGAATCAGCTCAAGCCCAGGCTACAAGATAATACCCTGAAACAGTGTTGGCTCTCGACTGGTTTAACAACATGGTCTGATTCATCTGTTCAGCCTGTGCAGCACCAAGACGGTGGAAGAAAAATAAGTCATGCTGAAAAATGAGTGCAACCAGCCTCACACATAAGAGAACACAAACAGATTCAAAAAAGCTATCAAAAATCCCTTTCCCGTTTGCAGGGTCTGCATGCAGCTGTGTGTACCAGCACAAGGATTTTGGAAAACCTGCTCKGTGCTACTCAGAAATGCCCTTCTCCAGTGTCTCCAGTGGATGGGACAGATGATATACCTGCCTGAATTGCAAGAAGCAATGAGAGGCAGTAGCAGAGTTAGACCATCACTGGATGGTTCTGACCCCCTGCACCATCCTCCCTACCATCCCTCTCTGCCACCAACAGCTGTGATGCCACTGTGGTGCCAGGGGAAAAAATTTGGCAGCAGGCAGACATGAATCATCTCACTTGCTCAAAAYCCTTCCCATCATCGAGTCATGCAAGCCCTGAGACAGGACACTCTGTGTCCCCATCAATTCTGGGCATTGTGAAGCCAATATGAAAAATCTGGCAGGTGGAGCTCATGCTGGCACCTCATTTTGAACTCCTCTGAACTGTCCTGGTCTTCTTGGCACCARGGCTCTGTGCACATTTTAATGGGGCTTTCGTAAACCTCGTTTCAGGAATGAGCACAGCTGCCAGCACACGCAGCCCCCCAGGGAAGAACCCTGCCTTTCTCCAGAGCACATGAATGGAGCAGGGCTCTCCAGCTGCTCTGTGTGCTTGGTGTGAAGCTGTGATGTTTGTGAGGGACTGAAGCACGAACTGCCCCCCTAATGCAGGTATGAGTAACAAAGGAGAAGGAGGAAAAGGCTGATAATCAAAGAAAAATAAAATAGCAAAAAGATCAACCCTCCTGTTCAGGCAGTGTGATAAAGTACTGATGGTTAACTCGCTCTCACTGTGGAGTAGAAGCAAAAAACGCAGTTGCAGAGGAAAAGAGAAGTTTACCTTGCAAAGTGAATTTGTCATTCACGCTGCCAGGTTATTTCTGTTATTATTTGCTCTTCACTCTTTGAGGGATAAAGAGAAAAAGTGCAAATGACCCCTGAGTACAGGCACAACCCCCGCCCYGCCACCTCCGCACTCACAGAAAGAGGATGCAAACACAGCCTTTGAAATTCAGAGGATAATTGATTCTCTGACGCGTGGAAGCCCACAGGACTCCTGAGGGAGCTCAGGTATAAAAGGCAGAGATGCACATCCCTGGCAGCCAGAGGACACTGGGGGAGATCYGGGAGTGTTCTCCCTGCTCAGCACGAGTCCGGGTCCTGCCCGGCACCCAGCGGGCTCACGGAGCAGCTCCAGAGGAGAAGTTGGATTTGCAACCGGGGAAGGAGCACCTGGGCAGCACCTGAGAAGCGCTTGTTTTCTACGGGAACGGTAAGTGGGAGCCTCTCTCTGTGTATTTAACGAGATAATGTCTATTTGGAAGTTGGAGACAATTAAATTCCACAGAAATGCAATCAAAGTTGGCATCAGGAATGAGCTTTGCCAGGTACAACAGCTTTTGTACCATACCAAGGTTTGTACTAATGTGTTTTTGTACCAARTTATAGAATGAAACAATAATTGAACTACACCATAAATGCAARCCAATGGAATATGGTGAGCTTTATAAAGCAGGTTAGATGTTTATCAGCTGTAGCAGTTTATCTCTTTTGCTGTGTTGATGTGAATTGCTTTTACCCTGGCAAATGAACGGTGTTTTACTCACCCAGCAATGAAACTGTTTGAGCCAAACCAAAGTGTGAGGAGGAACRCAACGGTGTGCTACAGGTAATGCAAAGCCAGCCACGACGAGRCACAGGGAGGCACTTAAAAGGATTTTTGCTTTTCTAATGCAGCATTTTAGGGTATAAAAKTTTCAGCTTTATAGAACAGCAGGCATGGCAAAAGCTCCATTTCATCTACACAGAGGTATTTTTAAGACTGCTCAGGTTGAGGTTTCAGAAATGGCAAGAGGTAGTTACCCAGCTCTCCAACATCACTGTCACAATGCTGCTGCTCCCTCTGCACAGGATGGAACGAAGCTATTACGCTTCATCTGCTGGAATGGTGCTAAAAGCTCTTCATCTTAAGGGGAATTTATTTATTAATCATTTTTTCACATGCTGCCAGAATGGCAAGTGAAGGTGTCCCTCATCTCAGGAGAATTTCAACGGTGACAATGTTTTTCAGAGCTGTCATTCTGCTTGCACGCAGGGTGACACTTCAATTTCCCAGCTTCTCCTCTGAAATAAAAGACACATCTGGGAAGGGATGTAGGATTTTCATTTTTGTTTTATTCTTGGGGGAAAAGGGAGACAGACATACCCACAAATCTGGAAGCAGGCTGTAGCTAAGGGAGAGAAGATAAAGCAGGACAGGAGAAGAAGGACAAAAACAGAAACAAATAAAAAAATTGCAAAGAAACTAGTAGTAGAGAAATAAAAMCCCCCTCAAATGTTCAAAAAGCAATTCTAGAGAAAAACCCAACRTTCAAAGATGAGAAAACAGAGGCAGAAAGTGGTAACAGGGTATCCAAGGAAGAAGGAAAGGAAGCAGACAACGTTGGGCTAGATTTTCATTTACACTGACACTTCTCAACTCACATGGAAGCTTCTCTAATACTGATTAAATCTCCTGGTCGGCACTTTGTCGAGATGCTGGTGCCACAGTCTGCTGGGACCCCTGATAGATGCCTTAGATCATTTCCTCTATCTAGAAAAATCTGACTTGGGATTTTCTTGAAGATAATCAGGGAAGAGGCACAGAAGAAGCACGTTTTTCCAAGTTAAAATGAAAAAAAGAAAAAAAAGAAAGGGAAGCAGGGGATTTGTCCCAAAAGCAGAAGTCCTGTACATCTATCAAAGTCCCTTTTTTCCTTCTTTTAGGCATTCCTTGGCTCTCTGAGGGGCCAAAGTGATTYTGTAATMGAGCAGGGGCAGGAGATKCCACCCACGAGCACAAGAAGCTCTKCAGGAGCCWGGGGCTCCTGTGCCATTCCCAGGGGAAATGCTGGGGAAGCTGCTGGTCCCCTGGCTGGGAGCACAAGCAGCTGGAAACAGGGCTGAGAACGACTTTGTGATGAGAAACCCCATTTCTTATTGTGACACCTTGTCCCATGTCTGTCCGTGCACTTCTGACACTGCCACCAACTCTGTTATCACCTTCCCAGTGTCAACATCACACCCACTGGCAAGACCTCAGGTCTTTCATCAGCCTCCTCTTCTCTGTGCTCATCTGCTCTGTCCAAGCAGCGAAGAGAGCTCACTGATGATGTTTTCATCAGAAAGTCCTCCCCCATCAGTAAAACCCACTGCTTGAAAGTTCACTTGAGCAATCAGAAGTCCAACCAAACCCTTTCCATCTGGAAGCTGCTCCTTTTACAAGGAAGTATTATTATACATCTGGAAGAAGAGGGCTTTTTTTCTCCTCTTAGGGAGATCAAACATCTTTCTGCTCTTTTCTTGTGTAAAATAAGACAGGGAACAAGGAAACTCGGTATTTTAAAGGTTTCTATCCGCATTCTTAAAGAATCTCCTTTGAGCAAAAGATCAGTCGCTTTCAATGGAAACTCAGGAAGAGCAGCATTCGCTGAAATACCTTCCTACTGTTGCTCGCTTCCAAGGACAAAAGCTCGGCATTCAGCTCCCGGGGGTGTGTGACCTCGGGCGACTCTGTCCTGAGTCATTTCAGCTCTTCAGCCAAGCCCAGGACACGAAGCTTTGCAGCCAGGGCTGCACACCCGGCTAAGCCCRGCTCAGCTCCCACCAAAGCCGGGCTCAGGGCTGTGCAGGTGCCTCCAGAGCGGCAGGACAGGGGCTCCTCTCCACACAGCAGCAGTTCAGCCCTTCCAAAGGGACATATTTCAGTCCAGTCCCCTCTCCACCCCCGCCTGGCTGATGGMACACTCTGTGTTTTGTTTGGCAAACCAAGATCAGCACTTGCCTTAGATAAACAGCTTTGTCAGGGTTACCTCTGCCAGTATTTTACCCCTCTGCCCAGGAATTCTATTTGGATTTCCCCGTTTCCCCCAGTCTCTGGACAGCCATGGAGGCAGCCCAGGCAGCTGTCAGGCACAGACCTGTGCCGTGCAGGTTCAGCCATGTGAGCAGGCATGTCCTGGGGAAAGCAGGGCAGGAGAGATGCCAGGGATGGTTCTGTGCCAGCAGTGAGGCTCCTGTCACACCCCTGCCAACTGCTGCCCCCCATCCAGGTGCTTTTCCAGCCTGTGCAGGGATCCCTGGGGCTCACAGCAGCCTGAGAGTGAGCTCTGCTCCACCCAGGGCAGCGGGATGGGTCAGGGAGGGGGTCCCACAGCATCAAGCCCCGATGGGCCCTGCCTCCTGACCCAAGGAACACAGCAGCTCCCCAGGGATCACACAGAGCCACTGCCCCCAGGAACTGCCCTCCTGGGGAAGACTTTGCCACACCAAGACATCTCTGCCTTGGGAAGCACCACAACCACAGAGGAACATTTCCAGACCCTTCGTGCCGAGAAATGAGCGGGGGGACTGAGAACACAAAGGTGGGACTTGGCCTCTCCTCGTGGCCTGKAGCACCTCACAGCCCTGACTCACACTGCTCTGCATTTCAGGTGACTCCAAGGGGTGGAAGATGCTGGATAAGGCCACCCTGCTCCTGTTCCTGCATTTAGTCACATGCTCCATCTCCTCTCCTCTCTACCCAGCTCTCAGGTAAGTGCTGAGTGCTTTATGCACACTCTCACTCTGCCTTATTTCTGACCTTGTGCAAAATAAGCAGGTGCCAAATTAAAGTTGCCAGCACTTCTGAGAGCCAGATGAAYTCTAAATGTGTTTCTAGGCCTATTTCTTTGCCCTGTCTTAATTTTTTGGGTACACTGCTGGCCTAGGGGTGATTTCCAAAGCAAGCAGGCACCTGATGGAATATTTCAGCCCAAACAGTTGGGTTTAGAATTTAATGCTGGGTTCTATAAAGGGAAATCTGGCAATCTCTGGGGCAGGCAGCACCTTCAGCTCAAACACTGATTAAAATTTGTGGCTGCAGGGCACCTGCACTGAAGTAAGAACTGCAAATATTCTAGTACATGAACTCTACAGATACCTATTAATATTTCAAGTATTTCCTTGTTGGCTCTYAGAAGTTGGAATATTTCTTTCTACCACTACAAATTGACAGAAGCACAAAATTGAGCATTGCCTTCTCTAATGGAGATTTGCAACATTCACAGAAAATRCTTTAGCCTTGTGTCAAAGCCATGGCACAATGATAGCAGAATCATTGGAATTTTGCTCAAAGATGATGGGAGCTCAGMGAGGGGGATGTGTGTTTGAGGCAGCTCTATCAACCATCTCTTCACTGYTGGAAGAGCTTCAGGGCAGTTTCTAGCTGGGGAGAGTGACAGACAGTACTTGTGTTAAAGCTAAAATGGGATGACAAATGGAGAAAGAAAAAGCAGGAAAATAGGGAAGAATGGTTAAGAAGACTGAGCCCTGACTGGCATCTGAGCTCAGCTCACAGGGTGCCTGGGGTTTATCTTGCAGGTACAGCCCAGGGCCSGTTGCTGGCAAGGCCATGAACTTCCAGCTGCAGCACAGCAGCTCCTTGCAGAGCCATAACCCCTTGGCAGAGGCACAGCACGAGGAGGGTTTGTTAACAGACCCCACTGAGAAAAGGTTTGTACCTCACCTGCCAGCCTTGCTGCTGCACAGTGCGCTGGTTACGGCGTCCTCCCCGGCCCAGGAGCAGAGCAACAGCTCAGCTAGTCCCAAATCACCACCATGTCCAGAGCCACATCCTGCTGTCTCCACCAGCAAGGACATACTGACAGGGGCAGGCTCCTAGGCTCTCCTTTCACCTCTGCCTGGAGATGGACTGTGATTGTTGCTGTCTGAAGCACAGAGGACTTGTCCTTACAATAGCAGGACCAGCTGAGTGGCTCGTGCTTCCCTTACCTRTGGATTTTCCAGAGCCTGGGTCCAACCACAGACTAGAGACCTGCTGGAGCTCCTGTCACCCCATCCCAGACATAGCCTTCACAGGAGGTGATGGTGCTGCTGCAGARCACAGGAATGCCCCAGCCCAGCTCTGCCCTAGACATTTTGTCTGCTTTCTCCGTGTCAGGACTGAACTCCCTCAAATCCTTTTACCCTCCAACACTAATACAGTCCAATACTACAACRTGTTTGTTGTGGTTACCTGTCCTGATATCAGCACTGTTACCCCTGGGGTGTTTTTTTATTTCTCACCTGGAGGGTTCCCTGACAGCTCACTGTGCTCCTTTCTGCCCAGGATGCAGCGCCACGCTGATGCCATATTCACCGACAACTACCGGAAATTCCTGGGGCAGATTTCCGCCCGAAAATTCCTACAGACCATCATTGGCAAGAGGCTCGGGTAAGCCCCAGCATCCTGCTGTCCTGGGGCTGAGTTTTGCTTGTTACCTGGGCAGTGCCTTTCACACACACAGCAGAAACACTGCCTTTCTCTGCTGAAGGAGTGAATCTCTCCTGCTGCTCCATATCCCAAAGGGCATCCTGCATCCCTACAGTCTTGGATCCCCCTAATCACAGCTTTCATTAAGCAGCCTAATTAATCCTTTCCTCCAAGGCTGTAAGCGTCAGATCAGCTGGGAGTTCTACCACAATACCAACAAGCAATAATACTAGCAAATAATATTTGCAATGAACATGCACYGGCAGGGAGCAGTAATTCTTGGCCTGGTTTGAACACAGAAAGCAGYCTCTCCATTACTCTGGGCTAGTTAGATCAGATTAGTGACTGCCACTAAATAAGACCAAGTGGTCAGATGTAAGCCAGCCCCCCAATCCATTTTCAAACAAAGCAGCAAAGACAGTGACCAATTCCTTGCTGAAATTAAGYAGAATGTCCCTAGGCTCACTCCCAGCAGGTTCCTTTGCTGTACTGCTCAGCCTGAGCCAAACTTCGAGTGAGGGACAAAAAAGYATCTCAGAAACAAAGCTGTTTCTCATCTTCACCTAACAGAAGCAGCAAGAGCAGCCCAGGAGAAGGGGTGCAGGAATTCCTGAGCAGGCGCCAGTCTGACAGCATCCTGATGGACAGCCAATACCACCAGCAGATGGTACTGAGGGACTTCCTGGGAGCCATCCTGCACAGCCAAAGGTGGGTGGGAATCAGTTCATCATCACCTCATGGCAGGAAAACACCCAGGTCCTCACTGCTGCCTGGCTTCCAGATGGGAAGCTTCTGGGCTGGCATTTCAGGAACACTCAGGGAAAGAATAAGGCTGACCCCAAGCAGAGTGCAGATAAGAAAAGCCTGTTCTGAGACAGCCTGCAGCACACACARCCCACATCACTCTGCTGCATTCTCAACTTCCTAATTCAGCAAAATAGCAGCAGAAAAGAGAATTTCTCTCTTGATCCCAGTTACCCCAACCCTGTCCTCTTCCTTGACAGGCCTCACGACATGGACAGCAGTTGGTTAGAAGGCTTTCCCAGCACCTTGGCTAAGCTCATGTAAATACTCCTCCTTTTTCCATCTCCCCATGCTCTGGTGAGTACCATTCCAGCTCAGTCCTGTGTATRACACACTGCTGCTWYACTGCTCAAGGAAKRTTTGAAGGCTCTCCTTCAATGATGYCAGATCCCACTGCTCTCCAKGAAAAAKGTGCTTGCTGCAATCTAAGGAGGAGAAAACTCGAATCAATTTTGTCAAGTATGTAAAACCTGTTAGTTTGAACAGACAGACCACAAGTGCTGTGAAGCTGCATGTGGATGCTTACAGCAATCCCAAACCACCCTTGCAAAGCTCTCTGAGATAGTGCGCCTGAGTGTTTAGGTCAGGCTAAAGGCAGACAAAAGTCCTCCTCCAGCAGCAGAACCTGTCTCTAGATCCCCAGGACAAGTCACATTTTCCCTGCACTGGACAGCAAAAGAAGTTTTACTKTTTTCTGCACCCCTCACTTCTGAAAATAGTCAGCTGGAACTTGAATTATGCTCGAAATCTTGCCAGCCCTGGGGGGCTGAGAGGCAGCAAACCATCCATCCTTGGGGATAKCTTCACCTGTACAATGATCAGTTGTCCTGTGTGAAGCAACCTCATCTCACTGTCCTGTCCCCCAGCAATGATGCCTGTCCAATCCTGCCAGCACAATATAAAGGGGTGTGRAGAGATCAGTGTGCACACTGAACAAAAGAGGGGCTGGGGAACAGGGGGAAGATTAGAACTCTGCATAAATCATGCCTATGAATTCAGCTGTGAGAGCATGACATTCCAGCTTCTCTTGCAATGCTTGACTTGGCTGCCTATCCACAAATAAGGTCAGTCAAGAAAAGCCTCCTAAGGATGGAAAAATTTCTCTGTGTGCTTATGAAGTTTTCTGGTAATTCTCTTTTCTTCCTCTTTCTGTCTAGAATAATTCAGAGCTCATGGACCAAACTGTACAGTGAGCCCTTCAGAGCAGTGAAGACACTCCCAGATGTGAGCAGCTGGAAACTGATGCATACACTCCTCAGATCTGATCAAAGGAATGCAGCACTGATGCACTACTTAATTTGCTCCAGCCTTTACAATTTAACTCCCCTCTTGAAATACTGCTCTGTACTGAATCAGAAAAAAAAAAAAAAAAACCCTCTGTACTTTAACCTCAGGCTGCTTTACACACAGAGACTGAAACAACTGATACACTTGTAATCCTGGRGACATTCTGTCTATTCATTAAGGTTTGAAATCACAAAGTGTAGCAAAATTTCTGCCCAGTCATCATTCTGTTTGAGGGCCTGATTAATAAATATGAGGCCACCAAAAGGCACCTTTAGGCAACTTAGTAAATTGATTACAGCCTCCTCTAAACTGATGCTGATGGCACAACCACACACAGCAGGGATCAGGGTGAGGTGAGACATGAATCCACMCATCTCCCATTCACTGGAAATGCTGCCCTGGGCTGCTGCTGCCTGATTCCCTGACACAGAGCCCTGGCAGCACAATGAACACTGCAAAGCTCAGCTATGGTTACTGCTCAGCCTTGAGGAGCTCAAACTGAAGCTACAGCTCTGCCAGAGCTAAAGGAGGTCCCTGTGCATCAGATTGGGCTGTCACTGTCTCAACTCRACATCCTGTTGAGTGCCACTCCTCTGTGGCTACAGTTATAACTGTAAATGTTATTAAAAGAGTAAGTTATAAGCCCAGTGGTCTTATACCACCACGTCCTCCCTCTCACCCCAATCCCCCTATTGTTTGTGTAATAATTATGTCTTTAGAAATGTAAATAATACCAGGATGGGTCTGCTGTTCCATCAGCAGTGGGAAATAAGAGTTGTTCTAAATAAACCTGTCCAACAGCAGGTCAAGATGGCTCTTTTGTTGAGATGAGTTTCTTGATTCTGTCCCCAGAATGGAAGATGCTCCTCAGACAGTGGTCAAATGCACCAAGGATGGTTCAGAACTGGGCTAACAAAGGCACCAGCTGCAGTACCAATAACACCAAGCTGGAAATACAATATATAAATGTATGTTCAGGCCTCTGAAGTCTTCCCTCCTTGCACTCCAACAATTCTTTGATAGTCTGCAGTAGTTACYGTTCATTTTTCCTCAGGTAACCATATTTTAGGACAGGAGGCTCCAGTGTGCCTGGAAATTAGTTCATACTTGCCAAATCCCTACCCTTTACATCCCCCCCTGTGCAGATTTTACAATTCCAGCACTAAGGGAAGCATTACAAAACACCCAGCAGGATGKAAAACATCGAGGGCATGTTGAGGGAGATCAGTGAAGCTGTGACAGCAGCAAGTGCACTAATGGATAAATGCTGCCCCTTCCATGGGCACGCAGCTGCCAGAGACATCAGCCATCCTTGTGCTTCAGAAGCACACAAAAGAATCACCCGAGGAGCCTGGCTCAAAATGGGTTTGTAAACCTGTTATGTAACAACACACTCAAAGCCACTAGGACTCACTMACTTCAGGAAAGGAATTACAAAAAATGAAGCAGCTTACTAAAGTAGAAAGTTAACACGTAGCAAAAAATATTAAACTCTGTTAAGTGACATAAAAGGCAAATGCAAGCACTAGATTGGATACTCCAAATAAAATCAAAGACCTATCAATATTTTGGAAAGTGTTTGGGTGATTAAGTCTGTGTAATTAAATGAGTGGGTGAGTACARCTACTTGGAATGAAAGAGACTCCTTTGSAAGTTCGGTTTGCTTCAAACTGAGRAAGCAATTGCTCAAAGTCTGCGAGATTAAATATAAAAACAAATAAGGAAAATCAGAAAACATCTGAGGAATAAAAGGCCAAAATAATAAAAACCATCTTTCCCACTGCATACCCAAAGTAGTAGAAAAATYAATAGCAACACACACAGCTGGGAAAAGATACATCACAGGGGCACTCCATGGTTTTCCTTTTGCATTTGTGCTCTCCCTGCGTAACATACTGCAGCTCTACAGGCACAGGGAAAGCTCTGTCCTAGCATGAAGCATCAGCAGAAAGAATTAGTTATAAAAGAAAACCGTGAACTGAGCAGTGACCAAATGTGAATCTTAAAAAAAATATTCAAGGGTAAATTACTATGAATAGTGGCTTAGTTATTTCTAGCCTAAAACTCCTTTAGTCCCAGAGGACTTGAGTGCAGCCTGAGATCCGGTGTTTGAAGGAGTGCAGAGCAGGTCACAGGAGTTCATTAAACCTCTGTGGGTCCATCATAATGTTTACAYTGAACAAGCAGGTAGGAACTGCTACAAAGAGCAGGAACAGTGAGCTAAGTGTGAGCARCAGCATGGGGGAGAGCCAAGGTGGATTCAATAAAGTGGGGTCACGTCTCACACACATGAAATGCGTTGGAGGATTCAGCTCCACACCCTTTATCCACATGCTTGSTTGCTGATGTAATTTTCCTGGCTTTCCAGAAGACATTGATAAGGTTCCTTTGCCAAAAGGCCTTTAAGGCATGCTCTTGACATGGGATGAACAGGAGCCAACACTTGGATGAAGGGAGGGAACAACTGTGAAGTTTCTCACATGGAAGTTGCTCATAGGASCAGATTTTGGTTTTTGGTTATCACTATGTGAGTCCTTCAGTAACACCCAAGTCTGCTGCCTCAGCACTGCTTGGTGGTCCTGAAGGGAGTAATTAAGTGGGAAATTAGAGCTCGAGTAACTCAAATGTGGCCACATGRCAACCAGCAGAGCCCTGGCTTTTGGTTTCATAGAAGACCAGAGGCAACAACCTCCATCAAACTCGTATTTGGAGTGAGGTTACTTCCAGAGGMTGCAGAGAAAGTGAAGCCCTCACAGGACCCCAAACGTGCCAGGTCAGACACAGCCAGGCTCAGCAGCACCACAGCTGGCTCCCTACAAGGGCCTGACCCTGAGCAGCTCAGCACAGCCTGGATGGAGAGAAGAGCTCTTAGGGCAGAAATGCAGCCACAGCCTCACCCAAGGGACGGGCAGGGGGGATGTTCCCCCCAATAAACACAGCCCCCTGGGAAAGGACATGAAAGAACAGGAAGCTTCACACTCAGCAATGACTCACACAAAATTACCCAGCAGAAAAAGCTCTTCTCGTTCTCATGTGAGCCCATGAGACAGCCAAAACACAACATTCAGGACCATTCTTTCCTCTTTATTCACAAATCTTTAGGMTGAGGAAAGGGCATCTGGGGAAAAGCAGATTTGTATTTGCTTTTTCCTTTTTCTTGAAAGGAAATTCAAATGTCCTGGGAGAAGGGGGGAGGATCCACAAAAGAAAGGATTTTCCAGATTCATATGAAAAGCACTCCAGTAGCATGAACACAATGATGAAAATAAAAGATTTTAAAAAAAGTTTAACTGGCACCCTTTTGACTTAATATGTAAAAAAGAATCATCTTCTGCCTTCCTTCTTCTGGCTGTTCCATTATTTATTCGCTTCTGTTCTGAAGGCATTTGCTTTGTTTTTCCACATTTCTTCCACTCTTCTGGTGCTAGTGTGTCCTGGAAACAAMGATCAAAAAAATTAACTCTTCCAGAAAACAAAGCCCTTCCTTGCACAGCACCAGTGCCCCCAGACCCCTCATTGTCTGTCAAAGGAAGCTCGTTGGACAAGCTTCCCAAAAGCAGCTTGAGTGATAAAATCAGTACTGCTCTGGAATGGRGGATGGAATTCAAGGAGGATGGAAAACGTCAGACAAAATGATCAATTTCTGGTGCAAAAGGAATTAATATGCCTATTAAATTACAGAACTGAACAAAAAAAAAAAAACCACGATGAACGCAAAGCTTCCAAGTACCTTAACTTCTCCTAACAAAAAAAAAAAAACCACGATGAACGCAAAGCTTCCAAGTACCTTAACTTCTCCTTTTAACAGGGCTGATCCATCTACTGGGAATCATTGGTCCATGTAAACACAAAGATCTTCAAGAAAATCAAGCAGCCTGATGTTGGCACAGCAGACCCAAATTTTTGGGGTCCTTTTGCTTTCCATGATGCCAGACACAGGCCTAGCTATGGATGCTGAGCACCTGACAGTCMTGCCTGGGAGCTGGTAGAAACTCTCTTAACTGGCATAGCATCAGAAAACAGCAACGAGAAAAAATACTTGTGCCTGCACGTGGCAGCCCAATCTAATTTAGGGTTTGTGAATTTAGTTATTTGCAAGATCTTAGGGCCACAGAGATGCTCTGAGGGCTGGAGCCCCTGTGCTCTGAGAGAAGGCTGAGGGAGTTGGGGTTGCTCAGCCAGGAGAAAGCCCAGGGAGGCCTCAGTGTGGCCATGCAGGACTTGAAGGGGTTTATAAAATAGAATGAGGGATGTTTTATACAGGCAGATGGGGCAGTGGTTTAAACTGAAAGAGGGCAGCTTCAGATACAATGTTAGGAAGAAATTTTTTACTCAGAGGGTGGCACAGGTTGCCCATAGAGGTTGTCAATGCCCCATCTCTGGAATTTGTTCCAGGCCAGGGGGGATATGGCCCTAATTCTAGTGGAAGGTGTCCCTGCCCATGGCAGGGGGGTTTGGAACCAGATGAGCTTAAGGTCCCTTCCAACCCAAACCAGTTTGTGATTCCATGATCCTCCAGGATTACTTACAGCCCATAAAGAATGAAGGAGTTTAAATACCAGGCTGAGAAACAGGAAAACATGCAGGCTCTGGAGAACACACTCATGAGGCACTTTGTAACAGGCCACTAAAAAGCTGCAAACCACTGGCCCAAAATGATGTTAAAGAGAAGCACCCAGGAGCCTGAACAGCAAACACARCAGTCATTTACAAGGACAAGTGACAGCCATCTCCAGTCCCTGTCCAGTAACTTCTTGTAGCTTTTTCTGTGTTCAAATACCTCAAAACATGCCAGGGAGGGAAGAGACAGTAACAAAATGTTTTTCTGAGGGACATGATGCAAAATTCTCCACGGGTAGTTTCCATGAAATCATCCTGCACACTCCTGACCTGCAGACAGGAGCTCACACCATTTGTGTGGCACATCCTCCCAGGGCTGGGTTGGATTTTCACCACAAAAACTGGGCTCTGTTCAGGTCCCCATGTGCCTGGAGCACTGATTGTGGATGTGAGAGGAAGCAGATGCTCAGGAGATGGACCTGTGCAGCACATTGTACAGTGATTTGTCTCCTCACAGGACCCATCCCAGATGCTCTCCCTCTTCCCCAAACACAMCAGTGCACTGAGCAAGGAATGAAGCCCCCATGCACACACACCCAGAAATGGGCAGTCAGTCCTGCCTCCTACACCACTGTTCCTAGAGCAAACTGGGACCTTACCTCCTGGAAYGAAAGGAAATGAAGGGCTTTCTGCTGGCAAGTGGCAATGGAGACCTAGCACACAATTGTATGGAATGGAGGGGGCTGGGAGCTGCTGGTGCCTGAGCCATCATGACCAGTTCACTCTAATGGGAGGGTGAGCCCGGGACTGGGTCATGTTCTCAGCTGAGAGAAGTGGTGCTGACCTGGCTCTGCTGCACAAAGCTCTCACCACCCCAAATGAGGATGTAATTCAGCAGGCAGTGTCTGGCAGCTGAACAGCCAGAAYACTGCAGGTGGGGATAGGGAGCACCAGCAGCAGGATGGGAACAACCCCAGTATCAGWCACTTTCATCATGGTCTCCTCCAGATAACATTACTAATAGTTCAGTTGTAGAAGTAATAATACTGTTTAAACTAAGTGTATTTCATCACCTGAAAGCTGCCCTGGTGCCCACAACAGCATATTTACAYGTGCACATATCACCACACAAACTCCAGACAATTAAGGAAATCACACAAATGCAATTTAGTCTCAGAGAACGTGCACTGATAATATGTGAACCCAGCTGCAGCCAGGAGCACCC